TGTGGGAGTGGGAGCCTGACCTCCAAAAAGAACTAAGCTCTGAGCGATCTTCCCTTCTCCCCTTCAATTCCCCTGGCCGGTCGCCAGCATCTGCACGCGGCCCCGGGGTCCGGCCTCCCTGGGGTCCAGCCCTGGGACTCAGGCAGGACCGGGGAAGGGCTGCTGGGAGACCCATTGTTCTGTTATCATGTTCCTGCAAAATACCTGGAAACCGGGTCTGGGACTGGCAGCGCTGGGCAGCGAAAGAGAGAGACGCAGGCCCTGGCCAGGGAGAAAGGGAGGCACACGCCCACACCATCCGCCTCATCCTGTGGTCCCTCTCTGGGGCAGCCCATCCCTCTTTTGGGCAAGATGGGGTTTAAAGATCACCACCCCAGCCCTGAACCCACGACCTGGGCCCTCAGGCAGTGAGTCTTGGGGGCAAAGGGACCTGTGCTCACATCTTGGCTGGGCATTTGAACCTCCGCATTCCTTTATTCTAAATGGGGGCGATCATGCCTGCCTTACGAGATTGTAGGTGGGTTAGAGCTAAACCAGGAAGTTACAGGACACAAGGGAGGCTGGAGGGACACAGCTGCATCACCGACATCATCACAGGGGTCCCTGGGTGCAGGTTGGGGCGGGGGAGGGGTGTCGGGTGTCTCAGGGCCCACTGGCTAAGGGAGGAAGCCGAGGCCAGGCTGCCATGTGGCGGGGCTCCGTGCTGCATGTCCCCTGAGAGCGTCATTATTCTAAGGGCTGGGCCGGGCTTAGTCAGCCTGCTCTCCCAGGGAGCCGGTGAGCCAGGCTGCATCATCCGTCTCTGTCACCGCCCACCGTCACGGCGGGCCCCGGTCCGCGCTGCTGCAAAGGGCGAGGATGACAGCGTAGGACCGGCAGGGAGAGGAGGGAGCAGGATGCGAGTCCTGCCGTGGCAACAAGCCCGGTTCCCACGACAAAGCTCCGTAGTCAAGAGAGAGATCCCACGCTCCATGTCCACAAGCCTCCAGGAGCGCGCGCTGGCAGCGGAGGGCTCTCGCTCGCTCGCGCTGACGCTGGAAGGCTGGTGGGGGAGCCCGAGCCACTGGGCTGAGACAAGTCAGCGGAGGCCACCGGTCCGGACTCTGCGACTCAGTTTCCACATCTGACAATAGGGGAGTGTGGGCCCTGGGGCCCCTCCTGGCTGTGACAGTCAGGATCTGGCTGTCTCAGGATCCCGCCACTAGTTAGTTCTCTTGCTCTGAAGGTGCCTGGTCTCCAAACTGGAAAAGCAGGGGAAAGCCTGAGCTCCCATTGCAAACAAACATCTGCAAAGCTTCCGAGACAGAAAGTAAACATCGCCTGCTGTGCTGCATGGGGGGGGGGGGGGGGCTCGCTGTGGGTCACCACTCCGAAGTCACCGAGAGGGTTTTCCCCTGTCCCCGCTGTCACTCACGAAGGGCAGGCAGAGCACATGGAGAATTCCTATCCTTCCCAGGGACCATGTCAGGATCCTGATGGGGCGGCCGGTGCTTCAGCAGGATGACCACGGGGGGCCGAGGTCACTGGGAGAGCCTTGTTCCCGGATTCCCTGCAGCCAGAGCTCTCGTGAGAAGGCAGTGGACACATCCTTCTCCCCCTCCCCCCGCCCCTCTAGCTTCTCAGGAACTCAGAGAGGGAGGAGGGGAGGAGGGACGTTTCCTTGAAGAGATGCTGCGCCATTTGGAGTCAACTTTTTCAGAAGCAAATGCCTTCTGGTGTGCTGGAGGCAGCGGGCAGAAGGGTCCCTATACATCCCCCAGGATGCTGAGGGGCCGGACCCACAGCCCAGGACTCACATCCCCCCTCCCCGGGGGGGGGGGTGTGGGGGATTGGGGCTCTGGCTTAGTGATTAAAAGAGGAGGGGTCACAACTAAAGAGGTCTGTGCTCCTCCCTTTCTTGGCTGCATGGCCTTGGGACCTGTGACACCCACCACCTCTCTGAGCCTCCGTTTCCTCATCCGTGAAACAGACCTCTCCTCAGTGAAAAAGCTCACACCCAACCCCTAGAGAGAGGTACAGTCCCTGTTTCATAGCGAACGCTCCACAACAATGCTGCTGCTGTTGCTTTCAGACTAGGAGACTCGGTTCCTTGCTTCAGATTCCCCCTTGACCTTACCAGCTTCGGGACAGGCGCCCTACAGGGACTCCATCGTCATTAACTAGAGTGGGGCACTAAAAGGGGGGCGGCCCTGGGAAGGAGGAGAGGGGAAGAGAGAGAACTGGGGGTCAGCAGGAAGACGACAACAGGTGGACAGGGAACTGACAGCAGGTTGCAGAGATATGGAGTCCCTTGGGTACTTACTAAGCCTGGGTGGGCTCCCTTCCATGTCCTTGGTTCTTGGCCAGGTCTGGCCCTGGGAGGGGCACAACCAGGGCTGCGGATGGACGGTTGAGATGATGCCGGGTGAAGGGGAAGTATTGTGGGCTCGGAGGCAGGCACCCCACGTGCAGCAGCGTCTGCTCTGCAGCTGCTGCTCCTGGACTGCATATCCCTCCTGGACTGCATGTCCCGGGGTGACTGACATGCAGTTTCGGGGCACCACTTCCCTCCTCTGTGAATCAGGCAGGCTCCATCCCCTCTCAGCCAGCCTTGCCTCCTATCTCTTCCCCACTGGCCACACCGGCTCCTCAGATACAGCAGGCACATGCCAGCCTCAGGGCCTTGGCACCTGGCTGCTCCCCGCAGGATCTTTCCTTCCCGACGACACCCCCACAGCTCACTCCCTCAAAGCCTTCCCTCGGAAGTCACCTCCTCAGGAGGGCCTCCGGGACCACCCTATGCAAAGGAACCATCCCACCCCTGGCCCAACACTCAACATTCACCCTTCCCCTCCCAATACACTATTTGAGTTGCGTATTGATTTGCTAGTTGTTTGCCCCTGAAGTGCCAGTTTCAAGAAGGCAGGAATCTTCCTTTTGTTCCCAGCTATCTCTCAGCGCCGCGCTGTGTTCATTAAATCACTGCTGGTGCACAGCTCACGTTTTGTTCAATGAGTGAAAGCACAGAACAGTCCAGGGACGCGTGGAATATAATTGCTCTGCGAGGATGCGGGGATGGCTATCATGAGGGCTTGGGGGAGGGGAAGCAGCTGAGCGTGGGCTGGGGGGAAGCTGCAGGGGACCTGAGAGCAGGGGGGGGGGCGTGTTACCCTCTCCCAACCCCCTGCAGAGAACAGACTTGAGCAGTGGACCCCAGCTGGTACTTTTGGGCCTCAGCCCTTTGCTCCGAATTTATTGGGACTGATTGAGCTGACAGCATGTGGTCTGAAAAGGAGAAGCCAGGGCAGCTGGCTTGCAGAATATCGGGGGCAGAGGGTACCTCAGAAACCCATGTCTCAGACGGGATCACAGAGGCCTGGAGAAGACCCAGTACCTATTCTCCTAATAACTCCGCAAGAAAAATCTTTCCTCCTCCTGGTCTGAGCACGGAGCTTCGGCTAAGGTATGGACAGTGCTTCCTCCCTTCTCTCCAACAACCTCCCCACCCCACCCCCAGTGTCCCTGGGATTTGAAGGCTGCAGGATGAGAGGGTTGTGGACAGCCTCCTCCCTCCTCCCTCCTCCACAGACCTCCAGGGGCGAAGGTCCAAGAGGCCACAGAGTTGGGGTGAGCGCTCCTGCAGCCCCGGGACCTTCAGGAAAAGTTTGTCTGGAGGAAATCAACCAGGAAGTGCGCAGCGGTGGGGCCGCGGCGGTGGAGCGGGGAGACCCTCTCGGCTTCGGCTTCGGCTTCGGCTTCGGCTTCGGCTTCGGAGGAACCTCGGACTGGACGGCCTCCACCACGCTCCCGCCCCGCCCCCAGCCAGCGCTCCGATCCAACCGAGACACACGCTTCCCCCGGGGCTGCCAGGAGGCAGGCGGCGGAACCCGCGCTGGTTGGGGGCGCGGAGGGTGAAGTGAGGGGCCCCAAAGCGAAAGCCAGGCTCCGCCGGACGCGCAGGGGATGGGCGCGGCGTCCCAGGCGGCTCCTCTCCAGTCCCGGGAGCGAGCTTTTTGCCCGCAGCCGGGGCCCCAGCCACCCAGCGCCAAGCCCCAGGCCCCGCGCTGCCCGCTTCCAGCTGAGCGCGCGGCTCCGGGAAGAGTGGGGGCGTCGGTCTCCACCTGTGCCTGCTCCACCCGCCCCCCATAGAGCTGGGGCTGAGCCAGGGGTTCCGTTTCTCCCAGCTTTCTCCCCCACCCCACCCCAACTCCAGTCTGGAGACTGGGATCGGTTACAGCCTTGCTCTTCGCCCCCTCCCACGCGTCCTGTATTTCCGGGCTCCAGCCAGTCCCCCCACTTTCTGAGACTCCAGGCGGGGAGCTCCGGGCTGTGGGCGCCCCGGGTCCTCTGGCCCAGGATCCCCGGCCCCACGGCCCCCCTGAACCAGAAGAAGGTAGCGCCAGACTGGAGGGCTGCGGGAGCTCCGCCGCCACCTCCTCCTCCGGGGCCCTGGCGAGGCGAAGAGGGAAGGAGGAGGGGGATTCGCAAGTTTGTGCCGTGCGCGCGCTCGCTCCCCGGACCGGGAACAATGGCAGGTTGGGGATGGAGGGGGAGGGGACAGAGAGCTGAGCAGCGCGAGGACAGAGTCTGACTCTGGCGAGAGGGGGAAAAACAAAAATCATTGCTTTTCGCTCCGTTTTCCTCTTGCGCTGAAGCAAGAGCGAGCGAGAGCCCGGGACGGGGAGACTGAGGGAGGAATAAAGAGTCCAAGAGAGAACACAGAGGAGGGACAAAGCCGAGGAGAGGGAAGCTGAATCGGAGAGCGGGGAGGGCAGCGAGCCGAGAGCGCAAAGGAAAGGGACAGAAGGGCTTGGGGTGGCGTCCTGGAGAGCCAGGGAGAGGGGATCCCCTGGGGTCCCGGCGGATCGCAGGTGCTTAGAGGTCCCGGGGCTCCACGCTCACGGTCCCCGGCGGTCCCCGCGGCCGCGGGAGCACCGGGAGCTGCGCAGGCACCCACCGGCCGGCGGGCGGCGAGCGGGGGAAAGTGCGAGGCTCCGCGCGGCGGTGGGAGCAGAACTTACGTTGCTAGCGCACGCCGGGCGGCTCCGCGAGGCTGGCGTGCAGCGGGACCGCGGCGCTCACATCACGCCGCCGCGCCGGGCAGGGCAGGGCAGGGCCGGGCCGGGCGGACTGCGAGCGGCACCCGGCGCGCCTGGGCTTTGCCTGGGTCCGGAGGCCGCTCTGGTCCCTCCTCTCTGTGCCGCGCCGAAGCCAATGGCGCGCCGTCCCTCCCACGCGCAGGGCTGCCTCGCCCCCAGGGTGGCCGCCGGGGCGGGCGGGAGAGCGAGGTTGGGGGGAGAGGGAGGGGGGAGAGATTGGGTTCCGGGCTCCCCAGCGGAGGCTTTCCTGGAAAACGCCGCCCGGGGGCGCGCTCACGCCCGGGGAGAAGACGACGCTTGGATATCAAAACCGAGGCCCCGCGCCGCCCAGGATGACTTTTTGTTGGCAAGTTAGGAAGACAGAGCCCTAGTTGTGGGACCATCCACAACCCCATGGGTGGGCACATCCTTAGGGCACTCCCTGAAGCCGGGGTCAGTGTCTAACACGGAAAGGACTGCTGGGCTGGTAGGGATCCAGGGTGTGGTAGCACAGTTATAAGGGTCACTGTCTGCCTGCCCATCAGTGCCATGTGCTGTGCTCAGGGTATTATGGGTATCAACTCATTTGACTCTCACAACTACCTATGAGGTCCAGATGTTCAATCCCCATTTTACAGGACACACACACACACACACTGTCATGACTAAGATCTTATCTGGGGCTCCCAGACATGTGGAGGGGGTAGGGATGTCAGTTGTCAGACTACAGGGGTGGGGGGGTGAAACTGGGTTTGGGGGTCCCGGAGGCTCTTTGGGAGCCTTTCAGCCTAAAGAAGCAGGCTCCTATAAACAACCCCCTTTCCCCCAGATTCCGGATTCATTTCCACGCTCAGCCAACTCCCACCATCCTGCCTGCACCCTCCTTCTTAGAAACAGCCCGCCTCTCTTCATCTTGTCTGATAGCCACACATGGAGGCGAGGAGGCTGGAGGGGCGAGGAGAGAAGAGGAAGGCAAGGTTGATGACATGCTCCATTTCACAAGACAAGTAAATGGGGCAGAGAGAGGTAAGTGGTAGTGCCCCAGGCGTCCAGCTAGCTGGGCATTTTGACTCCAGGTCTGAGTTCTTTCTGCACTAGTTCCTTAAAGGTTAATTACGTGCGCTCTGGAACCAGACTGCCAGGTTCAAATCCAGGCCCAGCCTCTGGGTGACGGGAGGCTTTCAGACACACACAGACAGCAGTAAATGGCACAGCTCCCAATTCCAGGCAAAGTGCTTGGGGAGGGGGCTGGAGGAGAAGGAAGAAACTATTCGTTACCACCACCATCACCCCCAGCACCCACATTCCTTAAAGCTCCCCTAGAAGCTCTCGTTCTCTTCCTCCCCACACTTTTCTGAAGTGTTATGCACCTTGTTCGGGAACATTCCTTAGACTGCCATTCTGCCCTTAACTTTTCCGAGTTCCCTCGTCTTCACATGGAGCATGAAAGCGTTCACCTCGCTGGGCTATTGTGTGGATTAAAACTGGCATTCATAAAGTGCAGCCACGTCTGAGCAAGAATAGGCTCTCGGTGCCTGGTGACAATGAGCTGTCCTTCTGATGCAGGAGAAGGAGCTGAGGGTGTGAGAAGGGAGGGAAGGCCCTGACTCCACTCCTAGCTAGCGACGTGGCCCTCGGCTGCACTTGCAACAGGGAAATACAAAAACACCTGCCTCTCAGAGCTTGGGAGAGTCAAGTGAGGCAAGTTGATGAAAAAGGTTTGAAGCTGGAAAGGCTGATTCCTGTGATTCTCATTGTTATTGTGATTCTCGTTGTTATGAAATCTTTCCCTCAAAAGGGAGATAAAGGGGGGATGGAGCCAAGGAAGGCCAGCTGGGAGAGGGCCACTTTTCCTTAGCTGGGCTTCCCTCTGCCCTGCAGGGGCAGGGGCAGGGGCAGGGGCAGGGACAGGGGCGGGGCAGGAGTAGGGGCAGAGGCAGGGGCAGGGGCAGGGACAGGGGCGGGGCAGGAGTAGGGGCAGAGGCAGGGGCAGGGGCAGGGGCAGAGGCAGGCACACTTGCATCTGGGAGTGAGTGAGTGAGCCAGTGTGTCTGTGTGGGCCTGTGCAGGTGGGTGCTGGAGATGGCCTGGGCACAAGCAATGTCATTGTCCACACCAGAAATCACTTGTGGGTTGTGAATTGCCCCAGGAAGAATACAAATGCAATTGGATTTTTAAAGATGCTGGTTTGCACAGCTGGTGTGGCTCAGTGGTTAAGCATCGACCAGGAGATCATGGTTGGATTCATGCCCAGATTGCAGGCTCGATCCCCAGTGTGGGGCATGCAGAGGTAGCCAAACGCTGACTCTCTGTCATCATTGATGTTTCTATCTTCCTCCCTCTTCCTTCCTTTCTGAAATCAATAAAAATATATCTAAACAAAACAAAAAAAAACCCACAAAAAAAATATGCAGGCTTTGGGCCTAGTTTCCGAACCTGGGCAGTGGAGGAGAAAGGCGAAGGGGAGGGTTTGGACCTGGTCTTAGAGGTAGGGCCTGGAGAGAGGTCTCAGCAGTGATCCCCTCCATGGGGATGGGGGGAGGGGGGCGCACATACTGGACAAGGATGTTGGCAGAGGTCCAGAGGTTTTTGGAGCTGATGGACCTGGGTTCAAATCCTAGTTATGGGCCCATGGGTCAGGGCTTTCATTTTTCTGAGCCTCAGTTTCCTGCTCTGTGAAACGGAGATATTAGTAGTGCCTACCTCCCAGGGCTTATTGGGAGTTTAACAGCGTGGATGCATATAAAGCAAGGAATGGCACGTAGTAAATTATTTTCGCTGGCATTATTAACTAGTAGCCTTGAGCAGGAATTCGTGAGCCAGTAGCTCATCAGTAGCTCTCCGACCACTGCCCCACCCTCCTATAGCTCCCCCATCCTCCTCCCCACTTACCTCTCATAGCTTGCTGCCCTGTCCCCTCCGGTAGCTCTCCACCCCACCCTCCTGCTGATCAGTGATCTGGTTGTTACTTGACTTAAGGGATAATTAGCATATCCCTCTCTTATTATATAGGATAGGCAGCCAGAAGGAGGAGGGAGGGAGAGGGCCTCAGGGGTGCTGGTGCTTTGTAAACTGTGAAAGGTAGCTCTGGGGCTGTCAGGCCAGGGTGGGTGTAGCTGCCACCAGGAGCACCATTCTGGCCCAGGACAAAAAGGCCACTGTTCCAAGGAATGAGGCAGAGGGGCCGGGCACTCATCATTCCCACCGGTTTCCCTTCCTGGTTCCCCTCACTTCCTCTAGACGAGCTTCCTTCCCTGGGAGCCTGCCTGAGAGGGCCTCTGGGGCTTTCCTCTCCACCACTGCGGTCCCTGGCTGAGCAAAGCCTTGGGGCCTGGGAGAAGCAGCTGGGAGTTCAGGAACTCTGAGACAGGCCTCCCTCCCGGTCTTCTGCCAGGCTCCTCCCCTTCCCGTGAATCCCTCCCACGCTGCTGCTGCTGCTGTGGAAAGCCCAGCAGCTCCGCACCTGTGGCACAGACAGCAGCATGGGGTCCAGCCTTGCCCAAAGGAAGCATGTGGCAGCTCCAGCCGGAGGGCCACAGGGAGCCCTTTTCTGCATCCAGCAGAGCGAAGCTTAAGGGGGCAGGTGAGAGCGGGACTTGGGAGCTAGACCTTCTGGGATTTAGGGCCAAGGCCCTAGTCCTCCCTAACTTCCTCTGTGGCCTCGGGCAAGTTTCTCGGCCCCTCTGAGTCTCAGTTTGTTCATCTGTCAAATGGGAAGAGGGAAATTGTGATGGCTCATGGGGTACTTGGAGGATTAAGTGAGACACTACCTGTAAGTCCTGAGCTTAGGGCCTGGCTCACCATAAAGGCTCAATAATTGTTCTTGGACACAGTGAACGAACAATTGAGTGGAAACAGTACTGAGTGGGGGGGAGGGGAGTGCATGTAGCTCTCTGCAGGAACACCATCCTCCACCAGCTCTGTGTGTGTGTGTGTGAGGGGGGGTGGGGGGGGTGGGAGACATGTCTGAGGACCTGTACCCTAGGCCCAGGGCACCTGTGGCTCTGTGCCACTATGAAGGGGCTGCTCCCCGCACTCAGACAGGATGGAGCATGATCATTCCTGTGGACGCGGCTGACACTTCTGCCAAACGAACACGTGCCTCGGGCTGGGTCCAGATTCAAAGCGCTGAGCGTCCCCTATGCCAACAGATTCTAATTCACAAAATCGTCCTGGGGCAGCGGGGTTCTCCGAGGGTGATCACAGGGCCTGCCTCAGAACTACAACTTCTCAGTCCTGCTTCACACCAGCTTTACACCCCCCCAATGGGAAACCGCAGGAGGGACAGGGAGATTCTGATGGGAGCTGCGATTTGAGAACCATAGTGAAGCAGACTCCTAGTTGTAAAAGGACATGGACACTTTATTTTGCCCATTCTCTCGGCGAGAGGAATGCGTGTCCCTGGGGAATGTGTAGGGATACACTCCAACCCACGGAGCCGAAAGGGCAGGAGTATTTTTGTTTTCTGCGACCTCAAGATCAGCCTGCGGACTGGGTGGGGGCGGGCTCCCTCTCACCCTCCCTCCTGGGAGAGGAGGCCAGGAGAGGAGGCCGGTGTCTGTGTTTATGATTCCCGCAGAGGTACCCCAATCCAGATCTACATAAATAAAGCCCAGCCTGGCACTGTGAGTGATCGGTTTATTAATACCCTGGGGGCGGATTGCAATAACAAAGGCGGCTCCCAGCCGTGAAGCACCCAGGCTTCATTATGTAATTGCTCCGGAGAGCAGTCCAGGGCCCGGGCGCCAGATGCCCTGAGCGCACTTGGCCATGAGCTGAGGGAACTCCGCCTGGGAGCTGGGGCTCCTGGCATGGGTCTGAGGCCGGTGGAGGGAGCACCTGCCCAGAGATCCTCACTCCCTCGCCCCGTGCTCTCCTCCCACAGAAGCCCCAGAGGCAGCTGTCCCTGGGGGCTCCAGAGGCTGAGCCAGGGCCCCCTCTCCCCTTCCACTCACCACCTCCCCTCCGTGCGGGACCCTCACTCTGATTTGGGGGAGGTGACCGGCTTCACAGGCAGGGACCTAAAGAAAGGGCTGGGCCCACACACTAAGCATTCCAGTCCCTGAAACTGTGGGATCCAAAGCCATGCTTTTTATCTCGGGCCCTCCCAGGGGGGTTTATACCCACCATGGATCAGTTGCTGCCTCAGTTTCCTATTGGGGCTCAGAGTGACA